ATGCCAGGTAGTGGAGATATAAACTTTATGAAGGACACGAACACAATTAAAGATTTTTTTTCACTTAAAACATGCTTAAAACATTGCAATATTGCTATGTTTTATTTGCAATATTTTGCATTATTTGCAATATTTTGTTTATTTAACAGTGTCTGATAACTGACACCTCTTCTCTGAATTATTGCATCAAAATGTCTGTGCTGTTGCAATCTTGAGTATGCTGTTCAAGTGTGTATCTGTAAGCTGCAAACCTACTTTTAATTTATTGACATTCACTACAGAAAACTCATGTTTAGAGTTCTGATCCCAGGACCCAGGGGAAAACATCAAATGGCTGGGCATTGCAATCTTTTATAGATAAATTGCTTCGTGTGTTGGTCAAGAACATGAGAAGGCACCATGACACAGACTGAGGGCTATGTGTTTGTCTACAAAACTAGTCTTCCTCAGTGGTCAGTATCAGCCTACTATCTGGGAAGTCTAAGTTCAAAATCCCTTAAGGAAATGTGCTGGGTGAACTTGGTCTGGACACACACTCTCAGCCTAATCCATCTCACTGGCTTGTTGTTATTCCTCATCTAAATAGTTCACATGGGTTTCCTACTGAGAAAGACCAGATCATGAGGGCATGAATACAGTGAAAAGGGGGAGGGAACCCAGTTGCACCCAGAAGAGCTACAGCATAACAAGCTCAACAAAACAAAACACTGTAGCAAGGCACACAAAAGGTCATACCTTGGATAAAACTTTGTTGGTCTTAAAGGTTGTTTGAATTTCTCCCACACGATTGAGGCAGCCAAGCAGAGCTTGGCTTCCTTCCCTCCCTTTGGGAGAGCCTCAGCCAATGGAGGGGAAGAAAGGCTTACTTTTCTTTCCTGTGCAATTGACGCAGCCTGGCCAAGAAGCAAGTTCTGGCTCATTCCCTCCCTCCGCCTGGGAGGGGGAGGAGCCTCAGCCAGAGCAGGAAATAGAAGCTTGCCTATCTTTCCTGAGCAATCGAGAGAGTATGAGGAAGCAAGCTATGATGCAGATGCAGCAGCAGCAGCAGAACTGGAAGAAGCAGGAAACAGCCAATTCCACTGCAGGTTTGATAGAAGCCCTCCAGGGGCCTGCTTTGGCCCATGGGCCGCATGTTTGACACCCCTGCCATAGGGTTTTCAAGGTAAGAGACATTCAGAGGTGGTTTGCCATTGCCTGCCTCTGTGTAGTGACCCTGGTATTCCTTCGTGGTCTCCCATCCAAATACTAACCAGGACTGACCCTGCTTAGCTTCCGAGATCTGATGAGATTGGGGTAGCCTGAGCTATCTAGGTCAGGGCAAGCAAGTACTAGCAAATACTAAATCAAAGCATGGACATATAGCACATTCCTTTCCAATATAACAACCACATCCCAAAATTAAGCAGAGCTACTCCAGCTTGTAGCAGGAATTACTTTTTAGCTAGAGGTATAAATGTGGGGAAAACGGGGAACAGGACAAAGGAGAAGTGGGTCTATTTGGAGCAGAGGTGCCCAGTCTTCCAGAGGCAAGGCCTAAATAGCAGAGAGGAGCAAAACGCCAGTTCTCTGTGTGGTGCAATGTAGGTTGGAAAATAAGTAGAAATAGATTAAGATGGGGAGCAAAGATATACCATTCCTAGTCTGTGTAGAAATCAGTTGAAAGAAGGAAGGATCCAGTGGGATAGACGCCCGAGTTGCAGTCCAATTAGTGCAAGATGTATCCATGGTCAGGCTGAGATTTTCTTTCTCTCAAGCCGAGCTAGTTATGCTGTTTGGGGCCCATAGGATAACATGGGTTCTTTTCAGAAAATGAAGGATTGCAACAGAGGGTAAAGGAATGGCTTGGCAATTGAGTGAATTATAGCAGTGGGAATTTATTTATTGGATTAACAGGGAAAGGCAACAGGAAGAGAAGTAGGGTTTCCAGGTCCCCTCGCCGTCATGGCAGGGAGATTTGGGGGGCATTCCAGAGTTGGACGCAACATCCCCAATGCAATGACATCACCCAGAAGTGACATCATTGCATCAGCGACGTCACACATGGTTTGGGGGCAAAACTCTATGGGGTTTTTTGTCTTCAAAAGCATGGAGTTTGCCCAAAAACCAGAGCATCACTGTGCAGTGTCCCTGTTTGGGGGTGGGGTTTCCCTGCCAACCAGTTTGGGGGTGGACTCTTGTTGGGACCTGGGGGCTGGCAACCCTAAAGAGAAGTTATTGACTAAGTTATAATTCAGAATTACAAAACTGGAGACCTGATGCTGAGTGATATAGTCAGTCATATATTCAGTCACATATGGGAGGAGGCATCATTGTCTTCTGTCGTGGTGTGGCTCGATCACTTTCATAACTTGCCCAGTGTGCTCAGCTCATTCTCACTAGTTTCTCCTGCCATCTTGAGACACAAACATGGTGATTGTTCCCATGCTCTGGACTTTTCTCATGGGGGCTGGGACTTTCTCATGGTGTTGCAGCGCATACCTTTGGCCTGGCTGTCTGTGTGCACAGATGAAAATAGGGGGCTGGCAACAAGTACAATACTAACTGTCTGACCTTGGGTGTTTTTCCCCCCCATTTGTGCTGAATTCTAAGTATGTCCATCACGGCAAGCTTATTTTTGTGGGTGGTTTTGAGAACAGGAAAGCATTTTACTTGTCATTTCCTTGGTGCAGCTAATCTTTGATGCAATTTGATATTATACATAGATTTTCTATTACACAGATTCCTGGCACTTACATCTGAGTATTTCTTTCATCTTGTTCCTATATTGTGAAAGAAGCTTTTTGAAAGGACAGGAAAAGATAGTAATTTAAACAAGAACAACATCTGTCCACATAGCTCTTTTCTCGAGTTTTTACATCAGCTCCACGCCATGTGTTCTCTGAAAAAGCTCTGTGATCCAAATGGCACAGGGCGGGCCAGGCAGCGGTCCAAAAATACTCTTCAGTTTTGTTCTGTCCAGTGAGAAAAATTCTGTTCATACATCCCACTTCCCTGGCCTTTTGTGAATGTAGTAAAAAATATTCAAGTGGAAGCTCGAATTGGATTGTTTTATATTTTTTTTAGCCTGTGAATTCATGTTAAAATTCATAGTGCAAGAAGTTTTTTAAAAAAATACCTGTGCAAAATTATGACATGAGTGTAGTGTATATTTTAGCCAGAAATAAAGAAAATGATTAGTAGTATACTTTTTTTTAACCCATGACAATTTTCACAGCAAAATGGGAGTTTTCAGGAGGATGGTTCCCTCTGAAAAAAACTACTAATATACGTATTTTTCCTTGGCTGTATGCCCCTCTTTGCAGTTTAGTTGCTATGCTCTTCTCACTCCATGAGCCCAGCCAATTCGAAAGCAAGTAGATAAATAGGTACCACTTTAGTGGGAAGGTAACAGCGTTCCGTGTGCCTTGGTGTTTAGTCATGCCGGCCACATGACCATGGAAACATCTTCGGACAGCGCTGGCTCTTCGGCTTTGAAACGGAGATGAGCACCGCAACCCTAGAGTCGGATTTGACTGGCTTTCGAGCAAGGGAACCTTTACCTTTACCTTTAAAGTTGGAGCTGACTCATGGTGGTGACCCCAGCAAGGGGTTTTCAAGGCAAGTGCGAAGCAAAGATAGTTTGCCATTGCCTTCCTCTGCAGACTCTTCCTAGTGGTCTCCGTTCCAAGTACCAATCCTGCTTAGCTTCCAAGATCTGACAAGATTGGGCTGTTTCATGCCGCCTTCCCTCCTGCCCAGCCAATCAGGGATCATATAATTACGGAAGCGATGTCAGAACACTGTTATTTAGTCAGATTTGGCTACAGAAACTGAACAAGTGATTGATTGGAGTGGGATAAAAATGTGTGTTCCTTATCTGTGTTGGACTAAAATTAACAGATGCATCTCATATTGCATCAGAATTTAATAGAGATTTCAGTATCTTATATACAACTGGCTTGTCAGCATTATATCCTGATTGTATTATACCATACAGAATTTTAAGATTTTTGGTCTTTTGTTTCACAGTCTAACTAATTTTATACTATATAAACAAAAATCTCAGTTTATGAATTGTTGGCCCAAGATCCATGGTGAAGTTAGAAATCCATTAAGAATGTAAGAAGAGCCCTGCTAGATTGGACCAGTGGTCCAGCATCCCGTCTCACAGTGGCCAACCAGTTCCTTTGGAGGGCCAACAACAGAGCATAGAGGCCGAGACCTTCCCCTGATGTTGCCTCCTGGCACTGATACTCAGAGGTTCACGGCCTCTGAATGTGGAGGTTCCCCTCAATTTCCACAGCTAGTAGCCACCGATAGACCTATCCTCCATGAATCTATCTAATCCTCTTTTAAAGCTGTTTATTCCTGTGGCCATCACTACATCCTGTGGCAGCAAATTCCACATATTAATCACCCTCTGTGTAAAGAAGTATTTCCTTTTGTCCGTCCTAAATCTACTGCCCATCAGCTTCCTTTGATGACCTCGAGTTTTAATATTTTGGGAGAGGGAGAAAAATATTCTCTTTGTCAACTCTCTCCACCTTATGCATAATTTTATGAACCTCTATGATGTCCTCTCTTAGTTGTTACTTTTCTAAACTGAAAAGTCCTAGACTCTTCAGCCTTTCATCATAGGGAATGTGCTCCAACCCCTAATCATCTTGTTTGCCCTCCTCTGTACTAACATAATGTATTTGTAAGAGTTGGGTCTAGCCAGCTGATAGCGTCAGGAAAGAAAGTCAGAGTGGTATGCATGCTTCTGAGCATGGAAGGCTCTAATTGAGTTGGTTCTGGTTTCTGAGTTATTTAACTGGTTCCCTAACTTTTTGCATGTTTTCAAATTTTCTCATTACTGCTAGAATTCTGTGTGCATCACCAACAATTCATAGGAGTTTCTAGCCCCACTAATTCTTCTCCACATGAATGATTATAATTCTTTTTATGTCTGATTATAAAGTTACACTTTTCCAGCAGAGAAGAGAGTATGGCTATGTGTGTTGTTTTTTTATCTTCTGCAGAGAATGATGAGGTCTTCCGTTTTCCATATGTTTATCCTGAGCATGGTGGCAGTGGATGTCATTGTTGCAGCTAGCAATTATTACAAGGGAGAAACTTTTAAGAGGCAGTATGATGAATTCTACCTTGCAGAGGTGAGTGCCAGACATTTTTCAGTAAGAGTAAATAAGAGGACCCAGGTGAATGTCAAGCAGTTTTAAGCATGTCAGTTTTTATGGTTATAAAGCACAGTAATAATCCTTGACTGATTTGTTCATATTTTCTGACAACATCTGACAGGCCTAGTGTATAGCATTCTGAAAGACAGTTTCCTCAAACAAAACGCCAGTCGTAATGAAACAAAGCAGGAGGCGGAGTGCAGCTGTGATTTTTCACAACAAACGGTAGTAAATGTAGACAAATTCTACCCTTTTTTCAAAATTGAAAAGAGGAATTCAAGTTCACCACCAAGTTCAGATAACGTACTTCAAATTGCACTTACTTTTTCTGAGTCGTGATACATACAAGTACCCATTTGTTCTCTCGTAAGACTATCAAAGTCAATTTATAATCAATACTTTGGAAGCTTGCAGCTTTAAAGCAGGGAGGAGGGAAAGTGTTAGCCTGTTGAATGTTATAACGCTATAGTCAGGCTCAAGGCCTTTGTTGCTACAGTTTATCACTAAGAAGAACCACCCGGAATTCCAAATACCTAACAGGAGAGCATGACATTCCCTTCTCTACAGAAGAAAATTGTAATATATAATATTCCCTTCTCTACAGAAGAAAATTGTAATATTGTTCAGCAGAAGTTCCAATGTCTACAGAGTCAGCAGTTCTGAAAACAAGGGCGCAATGATTTATTTACTTAACTAGTGAAATGCCCATCATTATTAGGATCAGGATGTGTCTGCCAGGGGCAAAATATTGGTTCTGCCTTTGCCTCAAGAGTGTGTTGTAATTTTTGCAGCCTTTCACTTGTGTGGGAGAATGTAAAATGCTGCATTTGGAAGCAAATGGCTGCCCCCCCTTCCCCTGTGACCCAAACTATTAAGAATCAAACCTGCTCCTATGTGCATAGCCCAGTTCCCTTTCATGGTTGCACTGTAATGTGATGGAATATTAAGAAATTGCCTGTTAGACAGAACATTACATGTCACTGTACAAAGTCTTGTGTGGCAGATTCTGAAGCAATTAAAAAAATGATGCATCAAACACCCCTCCAATTCGGAAGGTGTAAAGCCAGCACTCTCCTGGAGTTTTCTTCCAGATTAGGTGGAGAATGCGCTCCTTGGTGATATCCCAAACTCACTGCCTTCCTCACTCTCTTCATTGCACAGTTCCCTCCTGGGAGGTATAACTATTTGGGCAGCCTGGTGAACTGCAGTCATTTGTGTTCCCGCTTTATATTTGTTTATTTAGTTTATTAAAACATTTATGTCCCACCTTTCCTTGCAGTTCCAGGTGGCTTACAGTAATAATTATAAACATTTTCTGTTAAAGCCGAAAACAAAATAGCAAACCCACAATCTCCCCCCCCCCTTAAAAGATGCCTGACACTCCACATCAAAAGCCCTGGAAAACAGGCAGTCTTTGCAGCGCCTCTTGAAGATCTCCAGGGGGGGGGGGGCTCCCCTCTTCAGTGAGGCCATTCCACAGAGCTGGAGCCACAGTGGTTCATGACTAACAAGATATACCCCAAAAGCTCACATCAATCTGAATTCCAAGTCTTTTAATAGCAAATCGTCATGGGTGCAAGACAGTTACTTCTGTTTTTGAAAACATCAGGTGTTTCAATTGTACCCAAATGCTATGCAAAGCATTCAATACATTTTTTAAAATGTTGGTAGTTTTGAGTACTTTGACAGGCATATGAAATGCAAATTATCTAACCCACACCACTTTGGAATAAATTAAAATATATTTAAACTCTGTAATTGTTAATCTCATAATGGAACATTGGAAAGTGTTTACATCCTGCAAGATCGTGAGCATTTTTTGTTTTAGTGTGTGGGGGGGAAATCCCAACTTTTCTCTGGCCTTGAGATTCTGTTTGCTTATTTTTGTATTGTGGGGATATCAAAACAAGCGACCCACAGCTATGTTTCAAGTAGATGGTTTCCACAAACTACGCAATGAACATTCAGGTTTTTCTTCAGACAACGAGATTGCCGTGAGTACAGGAGCCAGTAATCCAGCCAGGCCAAAATGGTTGTGTGAATACGTTCTAGGTGCTATGAACACAGGGACTTATCACCTAGTATCTTTCCTGTGATAGAAGGGCTCTTCGCTTGGTGGAAAGGAGGGTGATTTCTGCCTTTTCCCCCCTTCCAACACCTGCCCCTACTTTCCCCTATAAGGCAGTCATGAGGCATCAGCTCTCCACAGGATCAAAATTCATGGAGTAGTCAGTGGATTAGAGGGAACTAAGAAAGCCCTATTCTGTGTTCTCACTCTGCTCATGGCTTTTGTATGATACAAGCCCTTATTGTAGGACCTGTTCTCCTCATTATTTTTTTCCAGGTTGCATTCACAGTCCTGTTTGATCTGGAAGCTCTCCTAAAGATCTGGTGTCTGGGCTTCACAGGATACATCAGTTCTTCTCTTCACAAATTTGAACTGCTGCTGGTTGTTGGAACTACGCTACATATTTATCCAGACCTCTACCATTCGCAGTTTACATATTTTCAGGTACCATGTAAATGTCTGCTGCATGATATGCTGTAAAGGGGCAACTGGGCTTTATTTTGGATGTATTCCAATGAAAGATCCATATGTGAACATTTGGTCATCCGAGTAAGTTGACCTTGATGAAATATTTAACAAAATTATAAAGGGGAAAAATATAGAGTCACTCAAAAGGTTAGTAAGAAAGAAGCCCCTAAAGTTCAATATGGCTTGAGTGTCTCCTTGAGTGTCTAAAATCTTGGTCCCCTGGGGTTTACATCAGAATAGCCTCTTCAATCCCATTCCATATTGGATCACCTTGGAAAAATTAGTCTTTTTTAGACAAAGAACCAACTGTTTTGGGCCAGACCACCTATTTGTCATGGAAGTTCAGAATCATTAATGTCTACTTGCTGGGGCGAGACCATCATTTTAGTAATTTTCTACTTGGTGAAGCTAGCCTCTGAGATAAGAGATGAGACTTTATATTGGAGAGGCTAGATCAGGTAGTCACTCTTAGTGAGGAGGCTGACTTAGGGCAGATTCCATTGACCATGAGTATCTGTGCATTTGGGATTTTCTCTCTTTTCCATTTGGAACAATGTGAAATCTGGTGACCCAAGGATGGTGGGTGGGGGTTAAGTATTCCTCCATCAACTTGGAGCTGCAAGGAACTCTGTACATGTTCTGAGAAATCTACTACAGCCTAGGTGATGTGAACACGGTTCAGTTAGAGACCAGCTTTATGGCAGCTTTTATTTGAAAATCTGTGCGCTGCATTGTTGTGTATCTCTCTCCCCCCCCCCATATCTTTGTCCTACACCTTTTTGGAATCCAACCACTGTTCCCCCCCCTTCCCTACAATAAACTTTTCTTTTTATATTTTTGGTCTTTGTTTAGTACAATATATTTCTATTGATCTCTTCCCTATGTGCCAGGCTGTAGAGGCACTACGTCATTTACTATAAGGTCTTCAAGGTTTCCACCCTGTTATTTTGTTAATGTTCTACAATTGTGCTAGAAGGACAACTTCTCAGCAGGTCAATATAGATGTTCTCAGGTGGTACCTGAGTGGTGGCAGCTGGTTACCAGGGTGCTTTCCAGGGAGCCCATGGTCTAAGGGAGTTTCCCAACAGGGAAAGGCACCTTTTCCCTTTCTTCCATCTAGTTTAATGTTCTGCACAATGCAGGAAATTCACAAATACCTCCCCCCAGCACACACACCCAGTGACCCTTGCTCCAGGCCCAGAAGATAACAAAAAAACAACAACCCTCCAGGATCTCTGGCTGGCCTGGAGAAAAATTGCTTCCCGACCCCAAAGTGGCAATCAGCATTTCCCTGGGCGTGTAAGAAAGGGCCATGAGAATCACGCATATTGAACTCAGTGTTGTTTTGTTTATCTTGAATATTAGGGCTGAATGACAAAGGGTGAACTCTTCGCACACTTACTTGTAAGTAAAGCCCTTTGAATTCAGTACTGTTTTCTTCCAAGAAAGCACTTGTAGGGTCAGGTTGATGTGCCGTCTGTTCAAAACGAATGAGTCAACTGCAAAAAAAAAAAGATAAAGTACCTGCCTGCCTTGGATTATGAAAAGACTGCGGAGGGTGTGGCCATTATACCAACAACAGGAAGTGCAGCATCTGTGACAGCTGATTGGAAGGTTTTAGAATACCACCTATGCCTCCTCGCTGCTACGGTGAGAGAGCCCAGGAGCCAAAGGACAATCCCACAGTCAACCTCAAGTAGGGTTGCCAAATGATTTTTACCTGGCGGCGGGGGGCTCCCGGCTGGCGACCCTGAGCACGCGTTTTCCCCTCAAATGGCTGTGGCCCCGCCCCCAGCGTACCTGGCGTCATGACGTCACATCTGGGTGACGTGGACGCCGGGGTGGGGTTTCCCCCGGGGGCCGATTCTGCGGGGGCGGAAATCGGACCTCCAAAGCGGGGGAAAATCCGCCCTCCGGGGGGATTTGGCAGCCCTAACCTCAAGTGAGGAAATATTGCCCAGTAGTCAATGATGGCACCTAGAAGCTTTAGCAGCTGCTTTGGAGAGTAGGGAGGGAGGACAGGGACCATTTATGTTGAATTTCTTCAGCATCTATGTAAAAACTCAGTTTTTACTAGCATCCTAGAAATTAGGGTATATGTAAGATTTTTTTTACATGGTTATCAAGAAGAGGGTGATTTATACACTTATCAGCTAGGAACACACAAAATCTGGCACTTAAAAAAAATGAAAAATAGTACAGTGAAATTTCCTTCCCCAGACCTTGCTCTTGCCCTTGTAGGTATTTTTCCTGAACCCATAAGTAACTGACCTTGCAAAAAGTTGACACTTTTTAAAATGTCAGTTGCCAGGTTAATCAATTGCCCTGATGGAAAAGCTTGCACACAAAACCAGATTGATCAAATGTCAAGCATGTCCAGAAGACTTCCACTCAGTCTTGCACCTTGTTTTTTCTCTCTCATATTAACTCATATCTCTCCCTGCTCACCGTCACCCAGCATACGCAGTCATTTGGGTTGAACATAACATTTTGCATATTTGGCCATCGAGCATAATGCATGCCTGAGATCTGTAGGTCATAGGCATATATCATAAATAGTCCGATATCATTAAAGTTATCTTGTTTTTTTTAATGGCTTAATGTTTAGCTGCTTGTTTGAGGGACATGATGATGGTGAAGCTTCATACTTGGTGGGCAGTAGCAGATCGAAGGTTAAGAATCACTGTTCTTGGAAGGAACACACTTTCCCTAAGGGGTACCTTCACAGCTTGGCACTACCATTGGGTCTTTTTCTGTACTGATATCAGGTTGGATCCAACCAGCTTTTCTGATGGGGGAAAGGGGGCCCTGTTTGGCCACCCAAAAAGTCTGTGTGGAAAAATCATGGGACTTGCATGTACAAAAGCCATGTGAACAGGGGCTGTAGTAGGGAGAGGATTGGGTAAGACTGAATGAAACAGATGGCTTCACGCAGCCTGTCAGCTATGACAAGTAGCATCTTTTAAATGATGTTGGCTGATGAATCAGCTGGGGGCCCTTCTGGGGGGGGGGGCGCATCTGACCATAAATACCACCTGCTCAGATTACATCCAAGTTAGATTACTGTACTGCTTTTGTAATGTTGGGCTGCCTTTGAAATAGCTCAGGCAAGCCCAGTCTCATCAGATCTCGGAAGCTAAGCAGGGCTGACCCTGGCAAATACTTGTAAGGGCAACCTCCAAAAGAATACCAGGGCTGGGACGCAAAGGCAGGCAAATATACCACTTGTCTGAAAACGTCCTAGCCTCACTAGGGGTCACCAGAAGTCACTGTGACTTCCAGGCATGCAAGCACACACACACACACACACATAATACCCCCCAAAAAAGATTGCTCAGAATATTCACTTTGGTCAGAATATAGCCACAAGAGTGGTAAAGGCTACTGAGAATGTATCTCACCAGTATTGGTACCAGTCTGCTTCGTGGCACAACTCAGAGTGGTGGTTCTTACCTTTAAAACAATGAATGATTGGGTACCCAGTGTTGCTTGAGATCTTTTGTCAGATACCCTGCTCTGTGGGCCCCATCCTTAGAAATGATATGAGCAGTTACCATTGTGGCATGTCACTTACGGAACTTCCTTCATCCATTTCTTTTGGTACATATGCTTTTGTATTTCTGGTACCAGATGAAGGTTATTGATTTTAATTTTTCAAGGCTTTTAGTGGCGAATTATTGTTACTGTTGATTTTGATGCCTATGTTTTTCTGCTGCTGTATTATTATTTCTCTTTGGCTGAAGTTGACTCCTGACATTCCACTACTGTTGGTTTCAATTTAAAATACTAATAATTTTACTTCGTATCATATGGCAGTTAACAAGTGTTCAAAGTGCTTCACAAACAACTTTTTGCTGGAATCTATATGACAACCTTACAAGATAAAGGAGTGTTATTTTCTCCATAAAGTAGATGCTAGCATGGTGTTATAGTTAGAGTGTTGGGGGTTGGACTGTGGAAATCAAGGTTCAGATCCTTGCTAAGACACACACACACACACAAAGCTGCCTTATACTGAATCAGTCCCTTGGTCCATCAAAGTTAGTACTGCCTACTCAGACTGGCAGCAGCTCTCCAGGCTCTCAAGGAGAAGTCTTTCACACCTGGAGATGATGGGAAATGAACTTGGGACCTTCTGCATGCCAAACAGATGCTCTACCACTGAGCCGTGGCCCCTCCCCATCAAGCTCATTGGGTTACCATGAGACATTTACTGTTTCAGCCTGACCAACCACACAGAGTGGCTGTGAGGATAAAGTAGAGGAGGAGAGAACCACGTACACTGCCCTGAACTCTGCAAAGAAAGGGGGTGGGGTAAAATATGGCAGACAGGTAGACAAATGGTGGTGGGGAGGGTTGTGTGTTGGGAGAGAATGGTTTGCACCCACCTAATGAGTTCGTGGCAGAGATAAGATTTGAATTGGGAACATCCTGCTATGTATTTTAGTTTGTCTTTAGTTTAGTGTTCTGTATTTATCACGTGAAAGCTGCTGCATTGAGTCACTTTAAAAAATGAAATAAAAAACATTGACCCACCATTCTAGGTCTTGTGATTGGCCTGCACTGTACTGTATTGCATTATGCTGGGTTTGTACCCTGATGAGGAATCCTACTGATTTGAACTTACTGCTGTCCATCAAGTGCTATGACCAATCAACCAAGAGGGGGCAAGGAGGGCCAGGAAACAGTGGGGGAACTCACCAGCCAACTCTTTGACTGCAGGCTTCTAATTATCAAGCATTGCAATGCAGACAAGCTCTTGCTATCAAATTCAAATCCAATTGCTTGCTTTCTTTATTTGCCAACCCAGGAAACAGAACTGCAACATTTTTAGGTTAAATAGATTACTTGGCATGATAAGAAAGTTCAGAAAGAGAAAGCCGTTTCAGTGAGCTAAGCCAAAACAATGGTTCCTGGAGAGACAAAAAAATAAAAATAAAATAAATCTAGATTCCACCATGCTACAATGAATTTCT